TTAAAAATGTATTATTAGCATTTAAGGTATCAAACTCTTAAGGAACCAGTGCTGATCTTTATATAACTGTCTGTTTACAGAATGGAATATTTAATGTATAATGTAATGTGCTATGAATTTACCTGTGGGTTCGTTTCATTTGATGCATTGTGTTTTTCTTTTCATATGCTTTACCACGGTAACCTCTAAAATGATGCAGAAACTGACTTGCTTGTTGCTGTGGAAATGGCCACCACCCCCTCTCTGGTGGCTGTGCACGCTAACCGGAACTTGAAGCATCTTGTTTTAGCGAATCGTCTTAGCCACACCAGAATTTGAAGCAGAAACACACCCCTGCCTGCAGGCCGAATTACTTTTTGATAAAGGATATGCATGCACAATTTTTATAAATAGGTTGTGAAAAAACTTTAGCATGTGATCTTCGATTATGATACATATAGAGTATCATACAAAAGTGTAAGATTGGGAATTTTCAAAAGTATCCTATTTAGTGAAGTTACAACATTGAAAGAAGAATCAAGATTTGTTGCGGGATGAATTTGACATCTTTGTTGACAGAAGAGTGTAAAAAAATAATCAAAAATGCTACTTGTACATCACAAATTGTACATAATGGGCTACACCCCTCTCACATGAGTTGTGGGACCCATTGCATAAATTATTTTTTAATCTAAGCGGATCCCACCCTCATGTGAGGGGGGTGTACACCCCAATGTAGAATGTGATGTACAAGTAGCAAGATCGAAAAATAATTAGATGACATTGTTAATTTTTTTTTAAACAAACCAATGAAATTTTGTCATGTGCCGTTTCTGTCGTACATGATGTTAGTGTAGCATGAAATAATCCTCACCAATTCATTGTCTTTAAAGTTCCAAGGGAGTGGAAGGCACGAGGTTCTTCAAATATGTGAACACAGTCGGTTCAATCATTAAACAAGTTAGACAATCGACTAAGGCCCCAAATTTTAAATTTACATAGTTTGGCCTTTAAAAAATTCAGTAGGTAATTAATAAAAAAAAAAAAAATTAAAGATCGTGACTGATTTTTAAGTTAGTGATATTAAAAAATAAATAAGTTAACAAATTTAGCCCATGTTTGAGCCTTATTCTCGAAAACTCATTTTTTTTTGAGTCTTTTTCAAACACACATTCTCCTAGTATAAAAATTGAATAATGCTATTTTGCCTCACTAGGATTGCAATCTCAGTCTAAGTGGTATCAATGTGACATTAAATGACAAATGAAATTAAATTACTCATTAATTCCATCATTCATTTAACATATCATCCATCGCCATCCAGATTGGGGTTGCAACCCCAATAAGGCTACATAGCATTATTCATAAAAAAAATTTGCATATAAATCCAATTTTTTTTGAACTTTTTAAATACACATTCTTCAATAAACCATTATTGCAAAACTAATTTTTCCCAAAAAAAAAAAATGTAGCTCAAACAGTTAAATTATCACAATAAAATTTCGTCAATTATAAATTAATAAAATGTCGGGAACAAACTAAGCCCCCGTTTGGTTTAGATAAAAATTTGGTTTTTAGTAAATTATTAAAAGTTGATTAAATGTGATTGAAAAGTTGGGGATGCCATGAAATGTATAGTTAAATTTTAATAAAATTTGATATATCTAACAATATGCACGATACGAGGTGTTGTTTCATAAATTATTTCTTTGATGTCATTCTCCTTTTTAGGGCTGAGCAAAAATCAATTTGAACCAGTCAAACCGATCAACCCAACCGGTTTGGGTTGGCGTTTTAGTTCAATTGGGTTGGGTTGGGTTGGGTTTAGATTCGGGTTCGGAAATCAAAGTTTAGATCGAGTTGGGTTGGATTCCGGGTTATCTATTAAACCGAACTCAACCCAACCCAATCCAATCCAATCCAATAATCTAAAAAATATTAAAAAGAAAATTAGTACTTAAAATCAAAAACCTAAAACATAATTATCAAAATTCTCCTCTGCCTCACGTCTCTTCTGCCTTTTGTCTCTTCTACCTCTCATTACTGCTCGTACCTCAATTTCTTGACTCTATTTTTTGACGTGATTTTTGACTAATACTTGGATTGAAGGAGAAGATCTACATTTTTAGTATTTAGGTTAAATTCATTTTATTCAATAGGTATAATATTCATGTATTCAACAAATATTTAGATTGATTTAATATGTATTTAATTTGATCATGGTATAATCTATTTAACATGTTTTACAATATTTTTAAGGGAATATTTTATAATTAAGAGGTTAAGTTTCACCAATTTCAAATTTAAGGAATTGAGTTTAAAATTTCATATTTCGGATTTTTTGAAATATTTTATTTATAAAGTAATTAATTAAACAAATATTTTATTAATTAAATATATTAAGGTCACAATTCCATATACTTTGGTCACAAATTTCATATAATTGGTCACATATTATTAATTGGTCACAAATCACAATTTTTGTATGTTATAAATTATTTTACGGTCACAATTCAAAATTTTTATAGGTCCCAAATTGTTCATCGATCACAAAACAAAAATTTATACGTCACAATTTATTCATCGGTTACAAATCTATCAAATTAATAATACATATTATTTATTGATCACAAATCACAAATTTTATAAGTCACGACTTATTTTGTAGTTACAAAATATCAAATTAATTAATCACAAATTATATTTAGGTCACAATTTATCAAATTATTGATCACAAATTAATAAATTTTTAGGTCACTCATTATTTATTAGTCACAATTTATTTATTTCATTGATTACATATTGTTTGTTGGTCTTTAATCAACAAATTTATTGGTCACAATCAGCCAAATCATTTGTGACCATCGTCGCCACCGCTACCACCACCAACACCACAGAAACGTACCATCGTCACCAACAACAGAAACGCACTACCAACACACCACCATCACCACCACTTCCCAACAACAAAATCATCGTTGGAAACATCGTAGCCAACGTCTTCACCAGCACCACTACACCAAACCGTCAACATAATCGCCACCACCACCCAACACCACTAAAACCATCGAACCACCACACCACAACCACCACCACCACCAACCCTAAAGCCACTAAAACCTGGAAACCACCAACACCCATCCAGCAACAAAAAAATCATCATCACCATGATCTGCGGCCGCTACTAGCGCGATTTGCAGCGCAACCCCTCTGCGCAGCACCACTGTGTAGCAATATCGCTGCTACAGATCACCACTACACAATACTGTATGCACAAATCACTACCGCCCACCATAGATTTCATCATTTTTTCTATTACACATAGAGATCACCATTGGATAATGATGCAGCGTCCCTCATAGCGTCATCGCCCCTCACATCGCAGACTACCCAGGGCAATCGAGGTGTCGATGTAGAAACCACCATTCCATTAGAACGGATCGAGGGGGCGCTCAAATCACCGTACAAAATAAAACTATAGATTGGGTCGAGGTGGCGCTGCAATCAAACCACCAAACAAAGCAAAACTCCAACATATCGGCTCTACAATAGCGAGCAATGTTCGTCGCTATGAGCATTGGTACTATGTCAGTGCCGATGCCGATGACGATGACGAGGGAGATGAGAGGTAAAGAGAATGAAAATTTAGGGTTTGGGGAAATGAGGTGGGATGATGGAGGTAGAGTTGTTTATAAATTAATTTAATTTTATAAAAGTATTATTAATATTAAAATTTCATCTGATTTTTGTATAAACAAACATTAAATCTGATTTTTGAAAATGCAACTTAATATCTGGTTCTATGTAATTTCCATTATTTTTAATTTATATTGTTCTATTGGAATGAAACTTAATTCCACGGACCATTTATCCAACTTCAATCAACTTAAGGTCTTTCAAATCTCCCTTTTTAATGTAACTAAAATTGATCCAAATTGAAATGGTATCAAATTTTAAAAAATTGTTCAAAATCAATGAAAAAAAGTCCTAATCATTAGGTCCATAAAAAAATTGTCCAACAAAAGAATAACTGGGTCCAACTTGAATTGGACTCAAGTCCAAACCAATCAACCCAACCAAAACCAACCCGACTTGGTTGGTTTGGATTGTGTTAGGTTTCAACCGTGAATGGGTTGGTTTCAGTTTGATTTATGGGAAAAAAATCATATTTAAGGTGTTTTCTTTACCTCAATTCAAAAATAAGGTAAATAGTTTAAAAATTCAAAAATCAGGTATTTATTTAATTAATTAAAAATATTTATTAAATAAAGATAAAAAAGTCACATTTTGTGATTAATGGTCACATATTCATAATTTT